AATGAACACTCGAATCATATCATTACACATGAAACTCTCAAGATGAAGACTACGGCATGAAAGCGCGTCAGTTTGCGGACCATATGGCATTAGCGCATACAGATAAAATTGCATCTTAATGAACTCACTGTTCCTGACGATCAATTACCGTAAAAACGCGAGTGTAGCGAAGGTTTAAGAAACACCAGCTGTAAAACAGGTAATAGGTGAGTTGTAATTGGGGTAAATGGTTTGAAAAACATTCATATTTATGCTGCTATTTAGTTGTACACTGTCTTTATCAATTCATGACTATATCGCTTTATCATCTTTTGTAGCCGCTGATAAGACTTCTTGAGTCGAATTAGGTATGGAATGAGGAATGAATTGATTAGTTGCCTGTTCGAATGAAGTTAGGACGGTCTTCGCTTTCCAATGTATCGTTCAAAGCAACAATTAATTGAATCTGAAAATTAACTGAAGTCCGTTAGCCAGCATACTGGCTTTTGATGTTTTGGTTTTTATTTGGTGAATGCGTACATGTGACGGCAGTACGTAGAGTATGCGAAGGAGGCGATGAAGTTTGAGTTGTTGAGTGATTTTAGTTATTTTTTGTTATCACGATAATATTTTCTAGCTGATAATATCTGAATATTACCGCTTCGATACCGTGTGCCTAATTATGTATCTTGACGAATGACCTCTCCAAGTCTAGATTTGCATTGGCATTGGCATATTATATTCACTTTCTCTTAGTCGTATATGTATACCATTTTAGTAGGCCACGGATCAATAGTATTTAAGCACCTCAGTGCCAGATGCATCTAGCATCATTTTATCCGCTAAATCCATTTCGCGCTCATCAGAAACAGTGAGTCAGACGCTGTTGCTTCTCATATGCTGCTGCATTAACATCATGAGTTGTTCGTACGTCCGAGGATGTAAAATAATGAGTGACTCTCACAAGATTGATAAATTGACGCCATAGGTGACTCTGAATAAAAGGTCGTTCAATACAACGTGAAATCAGGTCTTGCATTCCCATTTCGAACTTTTTTGATTCGCACTGGCGGATTATGTGATTGACTGTTTGGTTTTAGGTAATGGCAATCGCACACAGGGGTTTTCGTTTTATTAACACTTATATAGGTAGTGCCCAGTCTTGGCATGGCTTTTGCGGATCCCGCTAAAAGTTGCTCATTGTTTGCTGGCCAGCTGGAACCGTGGTAGTATTTTTTTTTCTTGGATCTTCAATCAGGCGTTTGTTTGGTAGACTGCAGTTCTGTTAGATCTTTCTCCACTCAGCGTTTGCTTATGACGTTAAGTCGTGGGCGCTTTATCAGGCGATTTTCACTATTTGGCT